GCCGGGAGCCCTGGAGCGGGACCGGCTGTACCAGCACAAGGTGTCCCTGGTGGTGCGCTACTTCATGATCCCCTGCAACATCTGCCTCATCCTCCTGGCCACCTCCACGCTGGGGTTCGCCGTGCTGCTCTTCCTCAATAACTGTAGGTGTCCCTGGGCGGGGCACGGGGGCCTTCGGGGCCGCTCCCGGAGCTCCTCGCTCCGCTGGGGACGATCCAGGCGCTGGATCACTCCCTGGCCCACTTTTCCCCGGCAGGAAAGCGGGAGCAGAGCTGTGAGGGAGGGCGGCTGTGCGTGGGCCAGCACAGCTCCCACCTGCTGCTGCTGCTCCCGGCAGGCTCCCGTCCCAAACCCTGCTGCTGCTGCGGGGGGACCAGCCGGGGATGGGAGGATTCGGGAAGGGCTGGTGAGGAGCCAGGGGATGTGAGGATTCGGGAAGGGCTGGTGAGGAGCCAGGGGGATGTGAGGATTCGGGAAGGGCTGGTGAGGATCCAGGGGATGTGAGGATTCGGGAAGGGCTGGTGAGGATCCAGGGGATGTGAGGATTTGGGGTGGAGAGATGATGAGGGCAGTTCCTTGGGGACAGGGGAAGCCCCTCCTGGGCCTGGCCTTTCCCTCAGGAAAAGCCTCCTGACCCACGGATCTGTCTGTGGAGCTGCCTGGCTGCTCCCTGAGCCCTGCAGCGCATCCCTGAGGGTGAGGGGGATGCAGGAGGGATGCGGGATCATCCCTCTGGGTGAGGAGGGAGGGCAGATGTCCCTCAGCACTCCCTTTCTCCAGGGATTTTCCCGGCTGGAAAACGGGCTCCTGGGAGTGCTGCCCTGGCCAGGGAATTCTGCTGCTCCCTCATTCCCAGCAAACTGCTGGAGCTTGGAGCCGATAAGTGAGAGGGAAATGCTCCCAGGCTGCTCCAGGAATCAACAGATCGGGGTTGGCTGTTGATCTGATCCCTGGTGCAGCCGAGCAGATCCCACCCTTGGGTGTGGATACATCCAGGTGTTCCCGTCAGGCTCCGTCGCCTCCTGCTCCCTTCCCAAGGAATCTTCCATCACCCAGGGCTGGCTTTGACCTCCCTGACGCTGGAAGGGCCCAACAGCTGCTGTGGGAAAAGCCCACGGAGGGCAGGCAAAGCCTCCAGCGCAGCTTTGGGGTGTGCAGCTTCTCCTGGAGGAGCTGTGGCTGGGAATAAAGGCTGGAAAACACACGGACACCTTCAAGGAGCAGGGCCCAGGTGATGGAGCGTGGTGGGGGTGGGGTTCTCTCTGCCACAGCCTGGCTCTGCTGCCTCGGCCACATCCCAAACCCCAGGTTTTGGCTGTTTCCCGTTCAGCTCGGGAGGGGTTTTGGTGCCTGAGTGGAGCTCAGCTCCCCCCGGGCTGATCCGGGGTCCCAGGGGTGGCAGGTGGCCCTTGCCTGGGGACCCGTGCTCGTGGCACCTCTCGCTTCCTGCATTTCGGAGGCTGCGGCGTTCCCTGCTCCGGGATAACCGGGCCGGCTGTGATTTGGGGTGATCCGCAGCAGGATTGGCCTCACAGCCCCGGAGATGGGGCAGGACAGGCCCAGAGCCATCCCAGCGCTGCCGGGGCTGCTCCCACATCCCAGCCAGGGATGCTCCATCCACCGCCGCCCTCCAAAGCAGCTCCTGCTCCCACCTCCAGGACCTCCTGGGAGCCAAAGCTGCGGCTGGAGGGATGAAACGCCACCGTGGACGAGGGCTGGGGGCTGGAGAGGAGGGAATGTGCCCCAGGAAGCCGTGACAGCTCCGTGCTTTCTGTTTCCTTGCAGACAAACCCAACAGCTACTTCACGCAGACGCCGCCGCCGCCGCGGGATGGTGAGTGCCGAGCCGGGGACACGGGAACCTCTCCTGGGCTGCCCGAGCCCATCCTGCCTCTTCCCCCTCCTGTGGAAGCGGGTCCATCCCACCCTCCTGCCCCCGAGCTGGAACTCAGCACTGGGGATTTAAAGTCGCTTCCGAGCCAGCCCAGCCCTGCCAGTGCTGGGATGAAGGGTTTGGAGCCCTCAGCGCCCCCTTTTTCCAGGGATTTTCCCAGCTGGAAGCAGGGAAGGGCTGGAAAAGGTCAGCACCTGGGTATCCTGCAGACCAGAATTTCCATCCTTGCCTCTGGGTCACCTCTCCCACCTTTCCTCTGCTTTCGTAGAGAACTTTGGGGGTTTGGGGTTTTTTTGTGAGGTTCTTATCAGCCAGCAGCTTCAGGAGCTGCTGGATGCAGGGCAGGCAAGCCCAGGCTGAGATAAAACCATCACAGGAGCTTTGTTCCCTTTAAAACCAGGCTTAAATCCCTGCCTTTGCTGGCAGGCTCTTCCCCCACCTTCACGTGCACAGATAAGAGCTGAGCAGAAAACAGCAGCCAATTAATAACCTGGTTGTTGCTTTATTTTATTTTATTTTATTTTATTTTTTAATTTTTATTTTTTAATATTTTATATTATATTTTGATTTTTATTTATTTAAAAATATTTTAATTTATTATAATTATTTATTTTAATTATTTTATATTTTAATCTTTATTTATTTTAAAAATATTTTATTTTATTTTAAATCTTAATTTAATTAAAAATATTTTATTTTAATTTAATTTTATATTTTTATTTTATTTTAATTATTTTTTTTTGTTTTTATTGAATTTTTATTTTTATTTTTCTTTGCCTCCCCTGCTGGGGGTGGGGAAGGAGGCGGAGGAGAAACGGATGCGAGATAAAAATGTGATTAATCTATAATTGGCCCGGGGAAGGCATCTCGAGCGAAAAATAAAAACCCACGTAGGTGGAACTCCTTGCTCAGGGCTCCAAAATATTACCAGCCCAGCCCAGGCAGATGCCAGACTTCCAAAAGAGCTCTGGTGCTCCCACAGGAGATGGAAAACTACCGATCCTGGGAGGCTGCCAGGGCTGGCGGGGAGCACATTCCCGCTGCGCCTTCGGGGGGATTCTGGGGACAGGGCCACGGGAACAGGTCCCTGGGGGGCAGGGATGGGTTCTGCTGCCTCTGCCCATCCCTGGAATGGATTTGATGCGGTTCTGGGTGTCCTTGGTGGCTTTGGGCAGGGCTGAGGTTTGCTCCGGAGCTGGGATCTCCCGGCAGAGTTTGCTCGGAGGTGGCGCTGAGGTTTGGATAATCCTGGAGGTTTGGGAAGGTCCTGTCCCCAAATCCTCCAGGTGAGGCCCAGGCAGGTGCTGGGAGCACCAGCAGGGCCCCTGGGCAGCTCCCGGGCTCCTCGAGCACTGTCACCTCCCCTGGGACATCCCTCAGGCCCCCAGCCTGGCCCTAATTAGGGCCGTGTCTCTAATTAGCACTCCCTGTGCCAGGGCCCGCTGGAACTGGGTGTCAGGACAAGATTTTGGGTGTCTGGGTGGGATTTTGGGGTGTCAGTGCAGAGCCAGGGGCTGGACTCTGATCCTTGCTGTTCCTCGAGTCTCTGTTGGCTTTTTTACCTTTTCCTCTCCTCCCCACTCCAAACCCTGCCCCAAGAAAACTCCCAAGCCTCACGTGGATTTCGGGAACACTTGGGAACAAGGCCACTGCCATTCCCAAATCCCCACAAATCCTGGCATTCCCCAGCCTGGGCAGGGATTTGAGGCTCCACCGGCTCATGGGGAGCTGCAGGACGGCTCCGTGTCCCCAGCTCAGGGACTGCCCTGGCCCTTCCAGGCTGGAGAAATCCTCTCCTGTCTCCCGGCTCCAGGGCTGGGTGTGGCAGGATCCCCACCGGGAGAGGGCTCTGGGGCAGCCAGGGTGGGCTGGGAGCCCTGAGGGGGGAGGATCGGGAAGGATCTTCCTCCTCCTCCTCCCATCTCCTCTGCGTTGTGTTTGTTTGCAGGAGTTGTGGCTGTTGCCTCTGAGGGCAGGGAGAACAAAGGGAGGGGATTTAGGTGGGATTTTGGGAAGAAACCCTTCCCTGGGAGGGTGGGGAGGCTCTGGAATGGATTTCCCAGGGCAGCCGGGGCTGTCCCTGGATCCCTGGGAGTGTCCCAGGCCAGGCTGGAGCGGCCTGGGATAGAGGGAGGTGTCCCTGCCCATGGATGGGATTTAAGGTCCCTTCCACAGGGACCGGGCTGGGGCTGGCCCTCCCCTGTGTGTGCTGTCCAAAACCTCCTCCAGCTGCTGGAAATCCAGGGAAAAAATCCAGGGAGGCAGGAATTCCTTGGGCTCTTTTATGCTCAGGCTCTGGGATCGCTGTGCCTGCTCATGGGGACAGGGAGGGGACACTCGGGAGCCACCATGAGAAAATCGAACTGGAAATACAGCCCAGGCTATCCCATGCCATGCCATGCCATGCCATCCCTTCCCATGCCATGCCATCCCATCCCATGCCATCCCATCCCATGCCATCCCATCCCATCATCCCATCCCATCCCATCCTCCCATCCCATCCCATCATCCCATGCCATGCCATGCCATGCCATCCCTTCCCATGCCATGCCATCCCATGCCATGCCATCCCATGCCATGCCATGCCATCCCATGCCATCCCACTCCACTCCACTCCACTCCATCCCCATCCCCATTCCCTTTGTTCCCAGTTTTGGGGCTCTCTGTGCATTAAAACCTCCCAGGTCCAAACCTCCCTCCCAGATGGGTTCTCCTGGCCCAGTTTTAGCAGGGATGGGGCAGGGAATGGGTGAAAATGAGTAAATTTGGGGCTTGGGGATTGGGATAGGGCCAGGAATGGGTGAGAATGAGCAAATTTGGGCTTGGGGAGCGGGATAGGGCCAGGAATGGGTGAGAATGAGCAAATTTGGGGCTTGGGGAGCGGGCCAGCGCGTCCCTGCCGGAGCAGGGCTCAGGCAGAGCTGCCTGGGGGAAGCTTTGTGCCCTTGGTGCCCGCAATCTGACGGCTCCGAGCTTTCCCTGGCGCCAGGACCCCGTTCCCGTTCCCTGGATGTCGGAGGTGCTCGCTGGGGCTGTGGGGTGAATTCCCAGCTCTTCCCGGGGGTCTTCCCAGGGCTCTTCCCGGGGCTCGGAGCGGGGCTGGGCGTTTGAGGCGATGGATGTGGATGGCAGCGGGGCTGGGCTGGGGGACAGGAGCCGCTCTCCATGGCAACGGGCGCCTCGCTCAGGCGGAATTAATGCCCAGCCCGGCCATTCCCGCTGCCCCTTTGGCACAGGGAAGCCTCAAAAGCCATCCCTGGGAGCGACACGTGGTGGGGGATGCATCCCAGCCCTTCCCTCCATCCAATCCCTGTTTGGGTTCCCAGCTGGAATGTTTTCCGTGGCTCCAGCGCGTTCTCCCGGCTGGTTTTGGGATAGCGCGGGGTTAAAGGCACGTTTCTCACAGGCACGGAATTCCTAAATCCGGGCTCCTCCTGGGAGCTCCCGGCAGGGAATG